TGGGTTAGTGTCCGTGTGTCCGTGTGTTAGTGTGTTAGTGTCCGTGGGTTAGTGTCCGTGTGTCCGTGTGTTAGTGTGTTAGTGTCCGTGGGTTAGTGTCCGTGGGTTAGTGTCCGTGGGTTAGTGTCCGTGTGTTTGTGTTAGTGTCCGTGTGTCCGTGTGTTAGTGTGTTAGTGTCCGTGTTAGTGTCCGTGTGTTAGTGTCCGTGTGTTAGTGTCCGTGTGTTAGTGTGTTAGTGTCCGTGTGTTAGTGTGTTAGTGTCCGTGTGTTTGTGTGTTAGTGTCCGTGTGTTAGTGTCCGTGTGTTAGTGTGTTAGTGTCCGTGTGTTAGTGTGTTAGTGTCCGTGTTAGTGTCCGTGTGTTAGTGTGTTAGTGTCCGTGTGTTAGTGTGTTAGTGTCCGTGTGTTAGTGTGTTAGTGTCCGAGTGTCCGTGTGTTAGTGTCCATGTGTTAGTGTGTTAGTGTCCGTGTGTTAGTGTGTTAGTGTCCGAGTGTCCGTGTGTTAGTGTCCATGTGTTAGTGTGTTAGTGTCCGTGTGTTAGTGTGCGAGTGTTAGTGTCTGAGTGTCAAAGCATCCTTCAAGCTAAAGTAAAAGCTGCTTCAGCTGAAGTTTCACTTTTGAACAAGGAAGAAGTTCAGAGGACTTGCAGGGGTTTTCCAGGCCGCCAGACAGACAGATAGATTGTATCTGCTTCAACACAAACAGCTGGCTGTCACTACGACAGCTTGTTTCAGTCTCTTAGTCATGATCAGCTGATTTGAACTGTTTCATTTGATTCCTTGTCTAAGACCTGAGGAGGTGAACGACACCAGTGTGTTTTACATGTGCAGCTTTCTAACCTCTGGTCAGCTCAGCACCAACGTGTCTTAAAACAAAAGACCACCAACAGCACCAAGAAATAATAATAAACTTTGACACAGGAATCGTCAAACACTGGCCAATAAAATAGCATTAAATAAAAGTTTACAATGGCAAGAGTTTAGTCATCGAACGCAGCAGCGTGTGAAAGATTCAGAGGCTTTATAAGAAAGTTGTTGCCTGATGTCAGTATGCAAAGTGTTCTACAGTCTGGTGCTCAAACATGATCCACACCGGGACTCTGTAAACCCTGCATAGCATCTTTCAAAGTGATCAGAATTTAAAGAAAGGGAACAGAAGTGGATGTCGGCCTGAAGCGAGTCGTCTGGCCTAAAGACACGACGAGGAGTCAACGCCTCAACGTGTCTTTGTTCAAAAGATCTGTTTTTCAAACTCTGCTAATTCTTCTGCCCAATGCTGTTAACGTGATCATGGATCACTGAAATGAAAATAAAAGTTCTAACTTAACAAAAAGAAACAGGATGTAAAATGTTCAGTAAGTAAAATGTAGATCGGAGATCCGTCGGATAAAAAGAACAGCAGCTTTAGTAGCCGATTGGTTCGTCTTTAATCATCTTCTAGTTTCTTCAGCTCTCAGCTCGGCAGACATTTCACCCAGATAGACACACATTTGTGTGTTTATCAGCTGGATGACTTTGGGGAAGAAGCTCCGTTGAAGTGTTCTGTCCTGCCGAGCCGTGAGCACCACCTGCCAGAGGTGGAGGGTCACCGTGATCTTGATGGCGTGCGTTGGGTGTGTCGGGACTCCAGTGGGGGAGATCTTTGATGCTCTGGTTGTAATTTTGTCCATTTTCTTTATGGTGTGCTCAGATGTGTTTCTATAGTGACTGATGGTCACCGGGTGTCTGGATTAAGGCTGCGTAAACCTGGACCAGCAGACCCTACCTGACTCTGGATGTAGACTCTCTTGCGCTTTTTGGATTTGATGGTTTGCGTTGAGGTCCCACGTCAGGTACCAAGGATCCTGAAGGAGTCCGTAATTGTGACTGGTTGGCTGTCTTTGTTTTGTTCTGAGGTCGATGATCATTTCAGGAGTCGACTTTCCATTGGGAGGTCAGAACCGGGTCGTTGTCCCTGCACCAGCTGACTAACCTCTCAACCTCTCAGCCTCCAGCCTGTAGGCGTCTTCATTGTCTTTCGAGATCGGCCCTATGATTGTGGTGTCATCTGCATAAGTCCTGCTGGAATTTGATGTTGTTCTGAAATCGCTGATGAAGAGGAAGAAGAGCAGCGGGGACTGAACCGTGTCCCTGTGGACCCCATGCTAGTGGTGGGGAGTGGTGATGTTGAATCTGACAGCTTGGCTCCTGTCGTTTAAGAAACTCCAGGATCCGGAGGCACAGTGAGGTGTTGGTGTTCATGTCCTAGAGTTTCCTGAACAGCTGTATTAAAAGCAGAAGTGAAATCCGTGCAGAGATATATGTGGACTCCAGATGTTGGCGGGTGCAGTGCCAGGCTGACGGCATCATCTGTGGACCGGCATGATATGCAAATAGGGGGTCCATCAGGAGGGATGGGACTGATTTAATGGACTGTGTGCTCGCAGGCCTTCTTAGCCACGTATGTCGGGGCCACAGGCCTGAGGCCACATACTTGTGCTGTTTTGGGAACGTGGATGACGGTGGGTTTTTTGCAGAGAGCTGGGACCTTTTGTTGGCTGGCTGAGGAGTTACAGATGACCACCAAGGCTGGGGTTATTCTTGAAACGATATCACAGATTTAATAGGTATGCAGATCTGCGTTCACACCACGGAAAACGAAAAGGCCGGAAAAACCAGCCGAACGGAGCTCGTACTGGGGCTCTGGGCCGCCGTTCTTCAGGAGAGGCTGAATAATCGTTGTCGTTGTTACGAATGAGAGCAGCTGAGTGTGGCAGCTCCTTCCTCTCGGTCCGACCTCTCAGCTGTCTGTTGCAGCGCCCCCTGCTGGGCGGAGTCACTGAACACAGATCCAAGCACTTCAGAAGAACTTCCCTCTGTTTGTGTATCAGCTGTTGTGTGTTGACGGAAAACCCCTCTGCTGCTGAGAACTGAGACGGTTTCTGTTTCTGCTGAGAGCTCAGTCATGTTTTCAGTCAGTGTGACACCTCGGCGGTGTTTTAACCTCCTCTGGTCCTCAGATCCTGTCCTCTCAGCACCCATCTGTCAGATAATATCACTGCAGTCCCACAGTGTTAGTGAAACACACCCGGACTTACGGTGTGTACCAGCTCTCTTTGTGCGCCTCTCAGTTCTGATTGAATTCAGTTTAACTGTTTCCAGTTAACTGTGGATTATTGTAAATGCTGCTGTTCAGCGAATCATTCGGGTCTTTTATTTTGAAGTTTCAGGAAACCAGTCAGTTTTGTTGAAGTCACACACAGGAAGGTATGTGAGTGTAATTATGCAGTCAGTGGAAAAGCCCCTAGCATCCCCACAGCTGAGCCCTGACAGGAAGTGGTGTGTTTCTGAGTGTGTGTGTGTGTGTGTGTGTGTATCAGCTGATTGTGTGGTCAGGGCAAAGGGCAAAGGTCAAAGGTCACATATCTTTGTGTTTTGAAGGTAACTAACCTGCTCAAGTTTCTCATGTAGAAACTTGCTTTTGCTTTTCTGTTTCTCTGTTTAATGGCAGGCAGGATTTTACACAGCAGACGTAGTGATGCAAGTAATACTGATAATATTAGTAATATTAGTAATAATAGTAATAATGATAGTAGTAATGGCACTAATAATAATATTTGTGGCAGCAGGTGGTTTGGTCCCCATGACGCTCCAACACCTCGAGTCCAGCTTTTCTATTTTATGGGTTTAATAGCCTGATTTGAAGTGCTGAACCAGAGGGGGTCAGGGTTATGGTTAGGGGAGTACTGTGAGGAGTCGGGGGGGTCAGTTGAAGTACAACAGAGTTTTTCCTGCAAAGAGAAAGTTTTGGTCCCCCCCAAAGAGGTTTTAGCGAGCGCCAAAGGAAAATCACCAGCGCCAAAATGATCAGAATTGAAAAAGTGTTTCAGATATTCTCCGAATGTGTTTTAATAGCCATTAATCAAACAGCTTTTGAGCAAGCAGAACATAAACTTAAATATGACGTCTTGACTTCCAGCCGTCCCCTCTCCTCTCACCCACAGCGCTGTTCTTTTTCTTTTCACCTGCAGCAGCGCTGGATTTATAAATCAGTGCTGCGTTGTTTTAACTGCACCTGAACGCTCCGCTACGAGGCTCGTGCTTCTGGGAGAGATGACTTCCTGTTATTTCTCACAAGATAAAAGCCGTTTGTGCTTCAAGCCTGTATTCACCGGTACTGTCACTTTGGCGTACCGGCCCCGGTCCTCTGCCCTCTCCAGATCAGGTTCTCTGGGCTCCACGTGACGCTCACCTGTTGCCGTTCTCTCAGCCTGCTGATCTCTGCGGGGCGATCGGGAGCCTTTCGTGCGCTAGCTGCTCGTCAGAGTCACTTTTCGTGACCTGACCAATCACAGCCTGGAGGAGGCGGGACATTAAAAAAGGCTGAGGCGCTGCAGCAAACTTTAGAAATGCTGAACTCGTCGTTCTGTATGCACGGTTTTTATTTCTGACAAGTTAATTTGCATAAACAAATGAGAGTCTGACCACCATGTGGAGCGTTTTTCTTGCTCAATATCTGAAAACAACCCACAAAATGAAACAGCTGTTTTGTCCGATTGGAATTAATATTAGGCTACTAACGGTGAGCTATGGTAGTCTGTATAATGAACATCAGCACTAATCAAACCTTCACCACAGGGCTGTAGGCTGATGTCAGAGAAAGGTTTTATTTAGTGATCTGTAGGCAGATTATCCAAATCAAGTGTAATCTGTAAATATTTTATTATAACATCATACTTCACTTTTATACCTTCACTCCTCCCGGTTGTGGATAAATGGTCACAAATGCATAACGTAAGGTGACTCACTGTACCGTACTGATCAGAGCATTTAGTGATTTGTAGTTAAATGATTGTTTAACATGTGACCTGACCAAGTATCAGTCATAGGCCACGCCCCCCTGCTGGCCTCCAGTGAGCATGTGGAGTGAGACGAGGCGTTCGCTGTCAGTCTGCTGTCAGAGGAACTTTTAGTTCAAACTGTTTATCTCATTGGCTCATGAACTCCCCCCTCCCCCCCACAGGTCATGTCAGCGGGGAGGAGTGCTGACGGGAGGGAGGTGCAGATTCCCCTCCAGCAGGTGGCGCCCTCCCTGGCCACGCCCCTGGTGGTTCCACCCATCACACCGCCCTCTCACCGCCCAGCCAATCCCTGGCCCCCCAGCGACCCAAACGCTTCTCAAGGTAAACGCTTCAAACACTACATGGCCCTGCTATTGGCTGAGAGGTCCAATCAGCGCCTCCTCAGCACGTCTCACTGCAGAGCCTCAAACGTCCGGCAGACGCCGCTGTGATCTGACTGTAGTGAAGTGAATGTGCGTCTCTGTGTTCAGGTGTCCCTGCAGGTTTCCTGCCTCTTCACGGAGGATTCAGAGATCACTTTGTAGAAACTCCAGAAGCCAAATACTGCTGCGAGGCCTGCAGGCTGGTCCTGTGTCAGCCCCGCCAAACCGAGTGTGGACACCGCTTCTGTCAGAGCTGCATCCACGACATCCTCAGGTGAGACACCGTGTGAGAGACGGAGACAGGAAGTGGTTTCCAGGTGTGTGCTTACATTTACATTCATTTATTCATTTAGCTGCCGCTTTTATCCAAAGCGACTGCTATACATGTCAGAGGTCGCACGCCGCCAGAGGCAGGCGTCTTATCCACTGCACCGTCACACCTGCTGAGTCACCTTTCAGCTAAAAGAGTAATATCACACCCACATTCTGACGTCTTTGCTGCGTGCAGGTAGACCTGTGATGTTAGAACAGCTGTAGCAGGTGTGGTAGGTAGAGAACAACCTCCTAGACCCCACTCAGCTACCCCCCGTGCTGTTAGAGCGAACTCTGCTCCTGGTCCTGGACCTGCCACAGATCCTCCTCTCAAAGTGGGGGGGCGTCTCAGGCGGCTCCGTGCTGGCCCCGCCCTCTCCTCCCTCTGCACGAGGACGCCGGCGCTGTCATGCACCTGCCCGGCTTCTCCTAAGTCTGCTGCACCAAAGACGTGTTTGTCATCCCCCATCTGACAGGGGCCCCTCACAGACACCTGTCCATGATCTCAACACGGTGGTGGTGTCACCTGGAAAAGGGGCGGGGCCGAGGAGTGAGTGACCCTAGATTACGGCATTCTCTGCTAACAGGTTTGCCGTCAGACCTCTGCAGCTTAAGAAAGAGATGAAGTCCCAGGTGTGCAGGTGTTAACTCGGCCGGCTGCTGGGGCTGCTTGTGACGGTGAACGTGGTGGAACAGGCTGCAGTTCATCCTCTGACCAGCAGGTGTGTCTTCAGTTGAGTCGTAACTTTATGCCTTCTCTCCTCCTGCAGTCATCCAAACCCGGTATGTCCAGCTGACATGGAGCCTCTGTTCAAAGACAAGGTGGGCAGGAAGTGACATCGCAACAGTGATCGAGTTGTCGTGGGTTATCGGCTGATTATTGAAGCTCCTGTGTTTGTGTTTCAGATCTTCAGAGACGTTTGCTGCCATCGGGAGATCATGGCGCTGAAGGTTTACTGCCGCAGTGAAGCTAACGGCTGCCAGGAGCAGATGGGTCTGCAGCAGATACCCGTGAGTGCTAAAACACACATTCTGACAACAGAACCCTGCTCTCTGATTGGCTGTAGGGAGTCTCGAACACCAGTTTAACCACCAGAGTTAATCCACGTACAGGTGATCTGAACTCGCTGCCGCTCTGTCTCTCACCTGTTTGTCTGCAGGACCACCTGAATGTGTGTCCGTTCTACGAGGTTCCCTGTCCGTTGGGTAAATGTAAAGAGCGAATGATGAGGAAAGAGATTCCCGACCACCTGAGCTGGAAATGTAAACACAGAGAAACCAGCTGCGAGTTCTGCATGACCAAGATGCCTCTGACCGACCTGCAGGTATCTTATGACATCACTGCTGACCGACCTGCAGAGGTCTGGGGACTAGTTGAAGGTCATGTTTGTCATGAAGTCTTAGCCAGGTGGAGCTTAAGGTACTTGGACCTCCCGTCAGGCTGGAGGTTCTCTGGTGTCCCAGAGACAGTTTGATTGGACACAGAGTGTCCCTGTGGTTCTTAGACTGCTTGTTTCTGCCTGACAGCTGAAGCGGAGTGTTTGTTTTGATGGTGAGACTGATACAGTTTCTGTCTCTCTTCAGAAACACAAAGAGACAGTGTGTCCGGCGTTTCCGGTGTCGTGTCCAAACCACTGCTCCTTCTCCTCTCTGCCCCGGAGTGAGGTACTGATCCGGTTTGTCTTCTGTCAGAGGACTGCGGTTGGCTTTGTCCTGCAGTTTGACAGCAGCAGTTAGTGTTGATCATACTGACCGGTCTGCTTCTGTTTCAGCTGTCTGCTCATCAGCACGATTGTCCCAAAGCTCAGGTGAGCTGTCAGTTCCACCGCTTCGGCTGCACCTTCAAGGTAACTCCTCCTCTTCTCAGTGCGACTGTCCCACTGTGTACTACATACAGTACACAGTGTACTACATACAGTACACAGTGTACTGTATGTATATACACTACTATAGTATATAGTACCACTGTGTACGTATGTAGTACACAGTACCAGTGTGGACTGTATGTATGTACACAGTACCAGTGTGGACTGTATGTAGTACACAGTACCAGTGTGGACTGTATGTAGTACACAGTACCAGTGTGGACTGCGTTAATGTGTTTACTTTATGAACTGTGTTCTTGTGTTTCAGGGTTTGAACCAGGACCTAAGGCAGCATGAGTCCACCTTCGCAGCTGAACACCTGAGAATGATGGCCAACAGAAACTGCACGTTAGAGAACAAGGTGAGCGAAGCAGTCGGCCGAGGGAACCGCAGCAGAAGGCGGAGTTCACCTGACTGATTTTTGCTTTATATTTCCAGGTGGAAGATGTTAAAGGTGAGCTGTTGGAGAGGTATAAGGTGCTTCCTGCTCTCAGCAACCGTCTGTCTGACCTGGAGAACCAGAACGACGAGCTGAGAGAGAAGAACCGACAGATGGAGCAGAAACTGGCCAACATGCAGGTAATGCTAATGCACTGATTCTACTGAGGAAAGGCAAAATGTTTATGCAGCTCATTTCTTATTCAAGTTCAAAGTGGGTTAAAGTTCAGAAAAATAAAGTGAAGGAGCCCACATGATTAAATCTTGAAATGAAGTCAATGAGGAGAAATGGCATCTGCATTATGACAAAAGTTGTACGAGAGCTTTATTTGTAGACCCAAGAAAAGACTGTGACAGTAACGTAACCTCCGCGACATGAATGCACAGGGTTCCCGCGGCTCCTTAAAAAGTCTTAAAAGGTTTTAAATTGAAATCAGGGAAATTAAGGTCTGAAATTGTCTTAAATTTACCATAAATTTGCTTTAGGTATTAAATTTGCCGTTTAAGGCTGGTGGGAAGACTAAAACGCCTAATTAGCGTGTATTTGTGTGATTTTCTTTTAGTAATTGACAATGCAAGACCCCGCAATTAATATAAGTCATGTTGCGTTTACGTTAGCTGCAGACGTTGACGTCATATTATCGTCAGTCGTGGCTGCAACATTGGGAGACGCAAGTTAAAGTGGTTGGAGGAAGATCCGATTGTTCTCTCTAGCTCAAACAACTGTAGCCTTCATCACGTCCTCCTCTCATTTGCGCAGGTCCAAAAAATGATCTTGAACTACAGGTTAAAATAACTTTCTAAAGTGTGTCTTTCACCGTGATTTGTTTTGCTCCATGGATTATTTACCTCTCTTCAGCGGCGCCTGTTTATTAGCTCTGCCGGAAAGTGAAACTTAAGTTCGGTCCGACATCGTTTTCTTGCTACCTTCGTTATAATGTGTAAGTTACTCTTTTCTGTTATTTTAGTGGTTTAGTTTAACACAGCAGCGTGTGAGTAAGAGCTGGGCAATATGGACAAAAATAGTAAGATCATTATTTTTATTATTATAAGTTTAAAGGCTGCTTTTTGCTCCTGAAGAAACCAGATGGTTAATTGTGCTTTTAAACTTTTCTTTATGGTCAGAACAAACACTTGATGCCAAAAAGCAGCCTGGTATCAAACAGTGGATCACTTCACAGAGCTGAGGTAGATCATCCAAAACAACAAATATGCATAAGAAAAATTAAGTAAAATCTTTTTTCAGTCCGTTTTCCTCAACAAAATAAATATCTTAATAGAAAAGAAAGTGCTGATTCAAATGAATTAAATCAAATATTTATTGAACATTTGTATATATTTTTTAGGAAGATTGTTTTATTGCCCCTAGTTCACGTTCACAAACTGACACGATCAGTTCATCAAAAACATGAGCAAGATCAATAATCTGCACTGTTGGAGCACGTTTATGCACAACACTGAATGGACACACTGTCCAGGCTCCTGTCTGCGCTGTCAGACTTTTGGATTTTATTTGCAGAAGACTGTGACCGGTACATATTTCCACCCAAGTAGTTGTTGTATGTGGATAGACAACACATTTGCATCCTCATGGTGTCCCCGACCACCTCCAGAGGTCGTTTTTCTGATCGGATCACAATCTGTCCTCAATGCGTCTCGGGTTACACGTGTACTTTCATGTGCTCAAGTGCTACAAGATCACGATCACCCAAAATACATTTTAATGCCAGGTGTAAACAGCGTCTATGTTCCCTGATTCGGAATATGCAAAGTCTTTCACCTGTGGTGAAAATAAAACTGACAAATATGGCATTGCGTCGTTCATTAAGAGATCAAACGCACACATCTTTTCTATCAAAGAAATTGTTTCAAAATTTGAGGTCTTAAATTTATATTTGTTGAGGTCTTAAAAGGCCTTAAAAAGCATTAAATTTGACTTTTAAAATGGTGCAAGAACCCTGATGCATGAATCAGGTTTGATTTAATGTGACTGCTAAAATTTACATCTGAGCTCAAACAAACCCCACGTTCAGTTTTACAGAAGACACAGTGCAGTACTCTGCACAGTACTGTATGTAGTACATCGTATGAACAGTATGACTAAACCTTATTTGGCAGATGCAGCTGTGAATAAAGGTTTATCTGATTTTAAAGTGGGTGGGAACAATAAACACTGAACGTGGAGCTTAAAGAGGGGCCCAAACTCCACACTCAGACTTTGAGGGAAAGTTCCCGGTAAGTCCGCGAGGGTCAGGTGCATGAGAGCAACATCCTTCTGAGCCCTTTCCCTAAGTCTGGAATTACTGTGGGGAATTACCCACAGTTCATAGCACTGTGACGTTAAACACGGGGAAGCCCGAAGCATTAAAAAGGTAAACTAACATGGAAGGAGCAACTAGAAGAAAATGTAAGTTCTGATCCTGTTTTGATAAAAACGAGTGAGCTGATTGTTTGAAAATGACGTCTCATCCAGTCCATCAGGCAGCAGCCTGGAATATATTCAAACCAGACAGTCGGTCCCTTCAAGTAAAAAGTCTCAAACCCATAATTATCCAAAGAAGGTTTAAATCAAGGGTTACTGGACTTCGTTGAAACCTATAATTGTATGTAACATGTTTAGGCATCGTCAAGGTAATGTGATACGTCGCTGAGTGTTGTCCCATTCAACCATTGTTCCGCCTTACCAGGTGACTTCAGCTACGTCTGTCAGGGTTTAGGGTGCAGATTGGGATTGGGCCAGTGACACAACTGAAACCAAAGTCTGCGCTGTAGAACCTCATCACCAGCTATACCTACTGTTAGGAACACTGATCGGTCCCTCCCCTAAACCTGGACAGCCAATCATCTCTCTCTCTTCCACAGAAACTCATGAGCTCTCACTCAGAGAAGCTCCTGGAGGTGGAGCTGGAGCTTCGTTCTCTGCGCGTGCTCAGAGACGAAGTGGAGAACCTGAGAGGAACGCTGGAGAACGTCCGGACAAGACTGAACGCTCTGGAACAAGGAGGGCGAGGCGGGACTGGATCCACAACACATACTCTGGGTCAGAACACACACATTGAGGATTTGGGGCTAGCTGCAGAGGTCACACACAGTCAATCAATAACTCAAAAATGAATATCCACCTCTCTACAGCATCCCTGGAGACACAGATGAATCGGCATGACGACATGCTGAGTGTCCATGACATCCGATTGGCGGACATGGACTTACGTTTCCAGGTGCTGGAGACGGCAAGCTACAACGGGACTCTGATCTGGAAGATTCGTGACTACAAGAGACGGAAACAGGAAGCGGTGGCTGCGAAGACGCTGTCGCTGTACTCGCAGCCATTTTACACCGGGTACTTCGGGTACAAGATGTGTGCACGTGTCTACCTGAATGGAGACGGCATGGGCAAGGGGACACACCTGTCGCTGTTCTTTGTGGTGATGAGGGGCGAGTACGACGCCCTGCTGCCCTGGCCCTTCAAACAGAAGGTACCGACTGGTTGTTATTACTTTACTGAGTGGTTACTATCTGATTTACCATCTGGTTAGCTACTGATGAAGGGCGAGTATGCTGCACTGCTGCCCTGGTCCTTCAAGGACTGTGCGCTGACTGGTTTACTGATTGGTTAACCAGGTGCTTTAGAAGTGTAGCAGTTCTGTAGTTCTGAGTATTTTGGGTTCAAGCAGGTTAAACTGTCTGTTGGGGGCCAAAATGATGCTGACCTGTCTGTCTGTCTCTTCGTTGGTCTTTCTCCTTGCTTGTCTGTCTGTTAGGTGACTCTGATGCTGATGGACCAGGGTCCCTCAAGGAAACACTTGGGTGATGCCTTTAAGCCGGATCCAAACAGCAGCAGCTTCAGACGTCCTGCAGCAGAGATGAACATTGCTTCTGGCTGTCCTCTCTTTGTGTCTCAGAGCGTCCTGGAGACGGGCAGCTACATAAAAGACGACACCATCTTCATCAAGGTGAGTTTACACAACACCCGCTGCTACTGTTCCACTAGCTGCTCATCATCATCTGCTTACATCACAGTCCTGGGGACTAGTTGCACAGGCCTGGGGACTAGTTGCAGAGGCCTGGGGACTAGTTGCAGAGGCCTGGGGACTAGTTGCAGAGGCCTGGGGACTAGTTGCAGAGGTCTGTGGACTAGTTGCAGAGGTCTGGGACTGGTTGCACAGGTCTGGGGACTGGTTGCACAGGTCTGGGGACTGGTTGCAGAGGCCTGGGGACTAGTTGCAGAGGTCTGTGGACTAGTTGCAGAGGTCTGTGGACTAGTTGCAGAGGTCTGTGGACTAGTTGCAGAGGTCTGTGGACTAGTTGCAGAGGTCTGGGGACTAGTTGCAGAGGCCTGGGGACTAGTTGCAGAGGCCTGGGGACTAGTTGCAGAGGCCTGGGGACTAGTTGCAGAGGCCTGGGGACTGGTTGCACAGGTCTGTGGACTGGTTGCAGAGGTCTGTGGACTGGTTGCAGAGGCCTGGGG